AGGGGGTGGAGAAGAAAAAAATATTTTTAAAAGGGGGGCCCCCCCCCCCCCCATGAGATGGTCACAGCTAATAGGATTATTTGTTGACAAGTGTTTGAAGGGAGTAGATGCTAAGGACAGAGCAGAGTGGTTTGGGCTGGTCCAAGAGGTATGAACAGGAAAAATGGGATGAAGAAAAAGTTATGCTGATGATCAGGATGTGTTTGCAACAATGAATTCTACTGGTTAAAGCTGAATAAAAATGAGAGTTTCCAAAAAAAAATTCATATTAAAATCCTGTTGGAGTGATGTTGTAGCCACGATGGTCCAGGAAGTATGAGAGCAGCAAGGATTTTTGTGGGTGATATCTTTTATTGGACTAGCTATATTTTTGGGATAGACTTTGACAAGCTGTCAAATGCAGTGCATTCTTCTTCAGGTCTGAGGAAAATAACAACACTGAAACATTTTGTTTTAATCTGAAAAGTTCAAATGTCTCCCCACAGAGGAACCCCAGAATAGGTGTCACAAATAAAAGAGTATCCATGAACTGAATGGTTTATTGTTCTTTATGTCCATTGGAAATGCTTCATTTTGAATCGGCGGACATGTACTGCATCAGCCTGTGGTACTTTCAAGGTGATGCAGTTTGGATGCCTCGTGACCTTATTCTTCACTATGGCTGGAATTTCTGGCCACACTCTACATCTCACAATACACCATCCATCAGAGGTATCCTATAATGCATCATGTGTCTAGGTCAGAGACAAGGCTGCAGTGCACCATGAAAAATGCAGGTTGTTCAAAGACTTCAGGTTATAGTGCAGAGTGGGAGCTTGAGGCACCCAAATTACACCTCTCAAAAGACATTGCAGGGAGTTGCTGATTAAAGCTGAACTGACTGAACAAAATAATTTGTTTCTGTCACCAACATTTTTCAATTTCACTGAAATATTTGAATTAAAAAAAAAAAAATTCTTGCGGAAAACCAGAAGTTTTTTGGGGGTTTTTTTTGGGGGGGGAAGAATTCACAGAAAAACATTGATCAAAATTGCACTTTCTGTCAGAAAACCATTGACAAAAATTACTGACTGGATCTAGTGTGGGAGATGGATTCCTGATTGAAGTGGAGGGGTGGTAAAACTTTTTCCCATAAGTTGTTTAAAACAAGCCTAGAATATCAGTGTATTATGGAACCAAAGGAAAGAAAATTAAGATAATATAAAGCTAGTGTAATTCTCTTAGGTCATGTCTTTACAGTGAATTTCTCATGGCTGACCATGCTGCAGAGGTTTCTGTACAGGCTGCTTCCTAAACCAGAAGTAGTATAGTCACATCCATTCAGTACCTGGGATAAGGGGGTGGGAGAGTGAATTTACAAAGGGAGGGTCTCATGGACCTTGTCAATAGCCAGCTGATGTATCATGCAGATGCAGCCACTCTGCTTTTGGTTTAGCAGGCAGCCTGCCAGGAAAAGGGTGGTATGTTTGCAGTGCTGCTGGGCAAGGTAAGTTTAATGCAGACAAGGCCACAATCTACTCTGTCTTCATTATAGTTTGTTTGGCCATTGGCTCACCTGCAAATTGGCTGTGTGCAGCAGCACTGCCCTTGCACATGCCATATGTTTATGGGTGTGAAACTGCTGAGTTTGAAAGCACAGCAGCTGCATCTCTGGCAGTTTAACTGGTACAACCGAGTGACAGAACCACTGCTGCCTCCAATGCCACAGGTGGAACCATACATATGATGTATGGGGGTGTGTCCCCGTGAGCAGGAACGTGCATTTCCCCAGGGACACACAGCAGCAGCACATATTTGTGCTGCTGCTAGTTGTCCCCAAGCACACCCCTGCATGTGTGCTCTGGTGCACAGCAATTGCCCCGGGGGGGGGGTAGGGAAGGCTGGGGCCGGCACCTGCGCTGGCCCCCGGAGGCT